GTACATTTTTAAAATAATGTAAAAACTAAAATGAATTGTAAAACTGAAAGTCATTTTTAAAAATTGTGTTCAGCATGGTGGGCCGCATTTGAATTCGTGACGGGCCGCGGGTTGAGAACCACTGGTCTACACTCTATACCCCAAATTTATTTAAAAGAAAAAACTGAAATATCACACTGACATAACTGCCATGCTATTGCACTTGAAAATTAGCTCAAGTTCATCCCGTTCCTCTGGATTGTCTTTGAGATTTTCCTACACTTTGACTGGAGTGTGCTTTTTGCTTCGTCATTATAAGTATGGAGTGTGATGTGTGAGTGTGAGCGTGATGTGAAAAAGCACTTTAGCAGAAGGCTTCAACATAACAGGATATGGAAAAAAAACCCAAAGGGATCTGAATACTTTCTGAATGCACTATCAAGTTAAACAAAAAGTATTTTACACATGTACAAACGACATACACAAATACAACACACTCCCTATATTAATAATATATTTGTGATATGGATCTCTCCTGTAATGAGTTCAACAATGTGGTGTATGATTAAGGTCCACATGGCAGAAATTAATTGTTTTTCATTTGATTTGCATGTCTGTCTGGCTGTGGTTCTGTCCTCTTTGTGGCTTTAATTATTTCAGCTGGACAGGTTTTCAGGAATGAGCAACCCAATATGACCAAATGCATTATAGTTTTCACCTATCTATCTATCTATCTATCTATCTATCTGTCTATCTATCCTCAATGCTGTGCGTAATGCTTTGTATCATTCAAACTTTGTAAACTTCAGCAATAGCTTTGTTTATGGAAAGCCGTTTTAACATTTAATCTATAAACCTTACTAGTATCTATTTTCATGCTACAAGTACTTATTTTTAGATACTAGTATATTTTCCATTAAAGAACTATTACTTATTCATTAGCTACTTGTGCTTATTCTGTAGGTACTAGTAACTTTTTAAAAGATACTAGTACTTATTAATTAGATACTAGTTCTAATTTATTAGACACTAGTTCTTATTTTTTAGACACTAGTACTCATTCAATAGATACTAGTACCTATTAAATAGACACTAGTACTTATTCATTAGATACTGGTACTTATTATTAAATAGTACTTATTAAATAGATACTAGTACTTTTTGCAATAGTGACTAGTAACAAATTTAACATTTTGGTAACACTTTATTTTAGGGTCTCTTAACTAGTTGCTTATTAGCATGCATACTAGAATATTAGCCATTTATTAGTTATAATTAAGCACATATCAATGTGTTATTCTACATCCCTAATCCTACCCCATACCTAAACTTAACAACTACTTTACTAATTATTAATAAGCAGCAAATTAGGAATTTATTGAGGGAAAAGTCGTAGTTAATAGTGAATGAGTGTTCCCTATTCTAAAGTGTTACCAACATTTCACCATTGACTTGTATGGGCATCTGTCATTGAGATATCAACTATTCAGTTTTGACTAGTATGTATTAAAAGGGACCCAGGTTTATCCAAATAACCCTGCGTAGGTGGCCACCCCCGCAACCCACCTCCACCGGGAAAATGTTCAGGCTCAGGAATTTTGTTTTTTTTGCACTTTAACCCCAGCTATTGGAATAAGTACTAGTATCTAATAAATACGAACTAATGAATAAGTACTACTAACTTTACAAAAGACACTAGTACCTAAAAAATAAGCACTAGTAGCTAATGATAAGTACCAGGAGGCTTTTCACAAACTTTAAAAAGGTACTAGTACCTAAAGAATAAGCACTAGTAGCTAATGAATAAGTAATAGTACTGTAATGGAAAATATACTAGTATATAAAAAATAAGTACTAGTAGCATGAAAATAGATACAAGTACAGGTTATAGATTACATGTTAAAACGGCTTGCCATACTTTGTTAGGTCCAGTCTTAACAGTCTTAAGTCTTAACAGACTTTCCATATGTAGTTTGGATGAAACAAACTTTCCATTTCAATAACAATTTTGCTTTATGAGGTATTGTTATTATCAATTAGCCTGGAGTCTACACACACAGTGAGTGATCTAAGAGCGCCCTCATGTGGCCATACCTAGATGTACAATGTCCAGTGGTAAACATATTGTAGGCTATTTAGAATCTCTTGTCAGTTGTAGAATACAATTGGATTTAAATTCTATACTTATTGTTTTTAAGTTATTGTGGACTATAAACACTGCTCAACAGAGCATGCAGTGTTATATCTGACCACTATTAATTAGTATTATATTTTTATAAGATGTGTACCCACACCATTTGTCTGTGCAAAACCATATACAGTGAACTGAATTATATAATTACATCCCAGTAACTTGCATGATATGAGGGGGTGGTTTCAATATGCATACAATTATGAGCTTTGTTAATAGAGGCTAGATGTGTGTTTAATGAAGAAAGTGCCTGTTAAAAGCCCAGACATGAGGATGAGTTGAGATTGAAATAATGCATTCTCATATTTTTCTAATAGTACTCATATTTTTCTAATTTTGGAACAGTTGAATTGTGGTGCTTCTAATTAAGTGATGAAAAGCAGTTGCAAACTGTTTTAAATACAGCAGGTATATAGTACACATCTATTATTTTATCCAATGTAAAATTTAAATATATAAATGTGGCTGCATGATAATTGCAATATAGCTTAATGGTGTTATGAAATCAAAGGCTGCTGTTTAATCAAATATCTGTATATTCTGATGCTTTATGTGTTTCAAATTGAAACACAGCACAGTGTTCATACAACTCAAGTTCTTGTTTCACAGAAAATACAAATCTCCAGAAAACTCCATCTCTGCATGTGCTATGAGTTTAACGTGAATTTGAGAATGTGCACAAGGTTTATTTATTTATTTTTTTCTTAACACACTCTCATTATTTCCCAAATTTTCGTGGACCGAAGTTTACAGCATTTCACCAGAATTCGGCCAAAATAAAAGCTAGAGGATTTGACATTTAAAGCTTTAAGGTTTGAATGTTTTAATATTAGTATTGGAACTTGTAGTGTAAAATAAAATTATAATTATTCAAATATTTATTTTTATTACACAGTACAATTTTTGTAATTTGACAAATCTATCACTATCACAACTAAACAGAGGTTTGAGTCCACTTTAAAGTCCAGCTACAAAGTCAACATAACACACACACACACACACACAATAATTTTACTTGCATGTTACATGAGCATTAACCAACATCAGGGAACCATGGACATGCAAATGTGTTGCTAATTATTATAATATTAGCGTAAAATCTCATGGGGCACTCATAGTAAATATTTTACGTCTATGGGGTTTGACCAGTGGTGGGTAGTAATGATTTACGCCATTACATTTACTTGAGTACATTTTTAGAAATCATTCTAAATCATTCAAATGGTTTGTGGCTGTAACATAAACTAAAGGCTATGGGCCCTTTAAAACATGGGCCAGGTCGTTTGATACATCTGCTTTCTGTTTCAAATATGTCAACACAGGAAAGAAAACTGTACTAATTCATTCATTTCATGTCTTTAAAGGTATA